GGGACACGCCCGACTTAAGAGAGAGCGCGGGCGATTGCCTTGGGAACATTCGGCGGCGCGCTTCGAACCAGGGGGCGGGCCCCCCCTCAACATTCGGCGCCGTCGATCAGAACCATTGGGACTCCCCTCCCCCCTAACCCACCCTCCCGAACACACACACCCTCCCAAGGAGGGGGGGGGTCCAAAACCTTCCCCGCCCCCTGGCGCCGGTGCCGGCGCCGGCGCTGACGGCCGCCAGCAGCGCCAACGGCGGGGACGCAGCGACGAAACCCCCCCCCCGCCCCGGCGCGGGCGCCGGCGCTGGCGGCGGCCAGCAACGCGGACGGCGGGGACGCAGCGACGATTACCAGAGAGGGCCCCGAAGCCCAGAGGCCCTTTAGGAAGGTCCACGAGGCTTCACACCTGCTCTTCAGACGCCCCCGAAACCCTTATGAAGCGACCTCAAAAGGCATTCGTTAGAATTCTGACCCAAAGCCAAAACACGGTGGCGGGAAGAGCCGAAGGCCACACCACCACCACCACGACCACAAACCACACCACAACCACCACCACCACCACCACCAGAACCACCACAACCCACCACCACCACAACCACCACCATCACCACAACCACTACACAAACACCACCAAAAACGTCACCACCACCACCACCCACCACAACCAACCACAACCACCACCACAACCAAAAACCACCACACCATTACCAGCACAATCGCCACCACCGCCACCACCACAACCATCACCGCAATCCACCACCACCACCACAAACCACCTCACCACCACCGCAACAACCACCACCACTACCACCACCAGCACCCACCACCCACCACGCCACCACCACCACCACCGCTACCAGCAGCACCATCACCACAAACCACCACGCCTCCACCACTACCACCGCCGCCACCAATACCACCACCACCACCTCAACCCACCACCACCACCAAACCACCACACAACCACCACAACAACTCACCACCACCACCACCACAACAACCCGTCACCACCACCACCACCACCACAACAACCCATCACCACCACCACCATCACAATCTACCGCACCACCACGCCACCACCGCCACAACCACCACCACCACGACAACTCACCACCACCACAAACCACCACAAACCACCACACCACCACATCCGCCACCACCACCACCACCACAACCACCCCCAGCACCACCTCCACCACAAACCACCGCCACCACCACGAACGCCATCGACACCACACCACAACCACCACCACCACCGCCGCCACAACCGCCACCACCACAACAACCCACCAACACCACCATCACCACAAACCACCACCACACCACCACCAAACCGCCACCACCACCAACCAACCACCACCACAACCACTACCAACACAACAACTCACCACCACCATCACAACCACAACCACCACCACCACAACCCACCACCACCAACAACCACCGCCAACCACCACACCACCACCACCACCACGACCACCACCGCCAGCACCACCAACCACCACACCACCACCACAACCACCACAAACCACCACCACAACCACTACACAACCACCACCACCGCCACAACCACCAACCACCAGACAACAACCACCACCACCGCCACCACCACCATCGCCACAACCACCACCACCACGGCCCATCACCATCACCACCTCGGAGAGGCCCCGAAAGACGCCCAAGAGGCGCCCAGGAGGCTTCACACGTGCCATTCAGAAGCTCCCGAGAGCCCTCCGACGGGACCCTAAGAGGCATCCATCAGGACACTGACCCAAAACCAAGGCACGGTGGCGGAGCGTCGTCGTCGTCGTCATCGTTGTCGCCGTCGTCCGCCGCCCGCCGCCGCAGGCGCCAGCGCCGGCTCAGAAAAGGAAATCGTCGCCCCCGCAGCCGCCGCCGATACAGGCGCGAGCCCGATGAAAGGGAGTGTTGGGGCCCAGTAAAGCGACTGGCGCGCTGACCCCCCCCCCTTCGCGACAGGAGGTGCGTCGCGTATTCGTCGCCCGTGCGCCGCCCGTGCGTCGGCCGCCGAAAAGGCCAGCCGTCCTCTCGAACGCGCACGTCGCCCACGCAACGGGGCAATGTGGTGAGTGCGTCGCCAGCGCGGCGGACACCCACGGGGCGGATCGCACGCGCGTCGCCCTCCACGGCCGCTGAAAAGGCCGGTCGACTTCGGGAAAAAGAAAGTCGCCCACGCTGCGGCCCTCTTGGCGAGAAGAAGGCGGCCGCTGGGCTACCTCGGCAGATCAGCAAATCCCTCAACATTAAAAATGCAACGATGCTGCTGAACGCACCCCGGCGATAAGCCAGCAGGTCCCCGCAGCCGCCGCCGCAGCCGCCGCAACCGCCGCCAGCGCCCAAACTACCGCCACCACGATCACCACAAACGGATGCGACCGCAATCGCATCCATCGCGACGATTACGACCAACACCATTTACCGCCATCACCACCACCACGACCACCACGCTTCTCGCGACCACCACAACGACCGACACCAGCACGATCACCGACGAAACCACCACCAGCCCGCCCACCACCAGCGGCACGACCGCCGCCAGCGCGACCAAGGCGACGAACGCGACCATGACCATGATCACCGACATGACCATTATAGAAGCACCCGCCCACTCCGTCCTCCCCCCCCTTCCCCATTCCCCTGCCGGGCCGCCCTTGCCGCCGCGCTCGCCTCGCGCCCCTGCCCCCCCCTTCCTTTTCTCCTCGTAATCTTATTCTTCCACCGCCAGCGGCGGGGCCGTTCGCGGAATGCGGGGGCGCCGCTCGCGGCGACGCGCCGCGGCCGTGGAAGGGGGGCCGAAGGAGAAACAAAAAATGAAGAGGGACGCGGGGTGGCAAAGGACAAAAAAAACAAAGACGAGAGAGGAGGGGGGAGGGACAGACAGAGGGATGCCGGTAGAAAGGAGGAGGAGAAGGGGAGGAGAAGGGGAGACGAGGCAGGGGAGACGACGGAAGAGGAGGAATGACAAAAGAGGAGGGACGACGAGGAAGGAAAAGGGAAATAACAGGGGCACGAACCGCCCTTCCTGGCGCAATGGAGGACGCAGCCGTCGCCACTTGTGAACAGCGCAAGCACGGCGGGCCGACGGCCGTTGCGCATTGCTGCTCGGAGAAATGCTGGGGGCGGGCAAAGTCGCGACTGCGTCGCGCGCGTGGCGCGTGCGTCGCGCGGGTCGATCGTGCGTCGCGCGCTGGCAGGGGTGCGTCGCGCGCGGGTCGGGGTGCGTCGCGCGCGCGTCGCGCGCGAGTCGCGCGTGCGTCGCGCGGGCGTCGCTCGGGTCGTTCGCGCGTCGCGCGCAGGTCGCGTGCGAATCGCTCGAAGGGCGCCGCGGGCTCCTGACGGCGCGTGAACTGCACGGCCCGCCGGCGAAACAATCAAGGGATGCGCGCCGCAATCGTAGAAATAGCGAGACACGCGCGTGAGAACTACGAGCGCGAGGAAACCAATCGACGACATGGAGATGCAGCGCGCGCGGACTAGTCCATTTCAAGCGCACGCCCCGTCAGACTTTGAACATCGGCCCGTCGCTGCAGCAATTTGGCGACGTCTCGCCCGCCGATGCATTGGGGGGGGGGAGAGGATAAAAGTGAGGCGAGGGAAGGGCGGGCGGAAATTGGAACGGACGGGCGAGGAGGGGGCGCGCGGGGGCGGCGCAGCGGCGGCGGGAGCGATGGAAGGCGATCGAAGGGGGGCGGCGGGAGCGAGGGGGGCGAGAAGAAGTTCCAGGAGGGTGGAAGGACAACGGGGGGTGAGTAGGAGGCGGACAGGACGGCAGCCTGACACAAAATACCTGAATACAAATTTGGCGAACGGGACAAAACGCGCAGCGCGTTGGACGAGGGGAAGAGGAAGGAAGAGGGGGGGCAGGAGGATTGGCGCGAAACGACATGGGGGTGCGGGGCGCGATGCGACGGGGCGAAATGGCGCCGCGTCGCGCGACGTGACGTCGCTCCCGCCGCGGCGCGACACGCACAGCCCCCAATCAAAGCGAGGCGTTTTCGTCCTCAGCAACGGTTGGCGCCCCCGAAAATGAGCACCAGCAAATCCTCTTGCGCCGCATTGGGAACAGAACGCGTTGGTGGACCGTCGAACTAGAGTGCGCCGCGACCGCCAAAATGGCTGCTGGTGCACCGGCGTCAGAAACCCATATATCGCCAGAGAAATTCCGAAGTCGCGCCATATGCCGCCCACGCACTCTGGGAGGCCGGGATTCGGGACAGAGGCGCAAACCAGGGCCGGCGCACGGGCGACGCTCGGGCGACGCACTGAACGAAACTGAAAGGGGGGGGTGGTCGCTTCACTGGGCCTTACCAAAAGGGAGAAAGGAAAAGTAGGGGAAGGGTGTGTGTGATTTGAACCCCCCCCTCCATCCAGAGGGGGGTGTCCGGTTCCAAACTGCCCCCCCCTCCAAGCGACCACAGAACGTGCTCTTTCCGACTTAACTCTACCCCTGCAGGCCAGATTTTGAAACACTGGCTGAAGTGTTCGGAGCTCGAGGGACGTCTGCAGCTGTGTGAGCCCCAGCGGGGGTGTCCGATACCCTATTCCACAGCCCATTGGACCCGCCAGGATACAGTGGAGGCCAGTCCACAAGAAACCGTCAACAAGAAACCAAACCCTGAGAACCCCAGAAGTCCACTGAACTGTGGTGTGGGAACGTCACGCCTTCCACAGCAAAACCATCGAAACCCAAGAAACCCAAGGCACCCTGGAGGCAAGCAGGGTGTTTCTTGGCATGGGCTTCCACTGTACTCGGAGGAAGGCCAACTGACACAACGGCGGCCCTCCCGACCCGACCAAAACCGCTCAAAATTGGTCCCCAGACCCTTGCCGCCGTTTTCAGATGCGGATCCGGCCGCGGCGACGAGAAGCCTCTGAGAGGCCCCACAGAGAGTAGCACATACTGGGGAGGGCCGCGGTTGTCTCAGTGGGCCGTCCTGCGAAGAACATATTCGAAATTGGCAGCGTATTGACTGCCCAGCAGACCTGCTCCTGCTGCGCTTGCTGTGCCTGCAGCTGCTGCTGCCGCTGCTGCAGCTGCGCCTGCTGCCGCTGCAACTCTGGCTGCAAGGTCTGCAACTGCTGCTGTATCATCTGGACAATTGTTTTTTCGCAACCGTCTTTTCTAACCGCAAACCATGAATGATTCAACAACCCTGAGAACCGGGCGTTGCGACTTCTCCCCACCGGGCATTTTCGAACGGTTTCGGAGACCAAGACCATCACATATCGAGCCGGCTAGAACAAGTCCACAGAAAGATGGGGTCTAGCGCTCTGGTCGTGATTTCGTGTGGTGTTGAAATGCTTTCGCAACGTCCGATCTCAAGGAACTCTCTTTCACGCGGAACACCACGTGTGATACAACCATTTTGCGAATCGAGATGTCGCAAGGCGAACCAGGAACAACGCAGAAGCCGACCTGCAAGGGAACTTTCGATGAGTGACAGATCGAACTTGCACAACACGCCCTGAATTCAAAGGTACCCATGGCACTCCTCGGGTGCGCGCGGCTCCGCATTCCGAGTGCACCTGGGCGGAGTAGCTGGTCGACGTCACAACAAACACCGCAAACAGCCATGCGACAGACAAGTCGACTAGCGACACCGACAGAAGATTGCACACGCACGCCACGAATGCCATCGTCGAGTGAACCCCTGCAGAATTCCTATCGACTTGTCTGGGCTGGCGGTCTCACAGTGCGCGAAGCCAGGAGAGCCCGGAATCGAATCGAGAGTCGGATCGGCGATCGGAACGAATCGAATCGGCGGAAATCGGCAGCCAAGTCGGGAGGGGTCAAATCGGCAGAAATCGGCAGGCTAGTAGGCCTCCATTGAGGAATCGGCATCGAAATCGAAATGCGAAGTCGAAACGAATCGGAATCGGAGGCCATCGAAATCGAATCGAATCGCAGGAACCGGAATGAGCCCTGCCGAACCTCTCGGGACCTGCGGCGCTCCGCTCCGCATCCCGCGCGCTCTTCCACCGCTCTTGCTTACCGCCCCTCCCTTTTTCCTGGCCTCGCCACGCACTCGGAGGGGCGCGCCTCGTCCCCGGCCTGCCCCAAGGGGGGGGGGGGGAGGAGGGCCATGGGGACGAGGAAGAGGAGGAAGAGGAGGAAGAGGAGGAGGAGGAGGAGGAGGGAACGAGGCGGCGGCCCTGACCCGAGGTGACCCCAGCTCCTCCAGGGCCCAAGCGATGAGCCCAGCCTCTCCAAGAGCTACCCCTCTCACAAGGCCAATGGGGCGCCGAGGGCTCCAGGGAGGCGTGGGGAGCGGTGGGCACCTCAGGCCTGAGGCAACCGGGAGGAGGAGGAGGAGTAGGAGGAGGAGGAGGAGGATAGGGGTAGGAGGAGAATCGGGGTAGGAAGAGGATAGGGGTAGGGGGATAGGCGTAGGAGGAAGATGGGGGTAGGATGAGGACATGAGGAGGAGGACGATGATGATGATGATGATGATGATGAGGAGGAGGAGGAGGAGGAGGAGGAGGAGGAAGATAGGGGTGGGAGGAGGATAAGGATACGAGGAAAATATTAGAAAGATGATGGGAGTAAAACGAGGAGGAGGAGGAGGAGGAGGAGGAGGCGGAGGAGGAGGAGGAGGAGGAGGAGGAGGAGGGATGATGGTGCACCCTGCTGCCCCAGTCTGGTGGGCCCGGCTGGATCCGGCGCTGCTGGCGGATCCGGTGGGTCTGGTGGGTCCGGCGAGTCCGGTGAGTCGGGTCCGGGGAGTCCGGTGAGTCCAGCGAGTGGGTCCAGCAGTTCCTGTGAGTCCGGCGCATCCTCCGCTGGCGCCTGTGGGTCCGGTGAGTCCGGTGAGTCTGGTGAGTCCGGCGAGTCCGGTGAAGCCACTGGGACCGCTGGAACTCGGTCCGGGACGCGCTCAAACTCCAGATTCAAGGCCCGACCTGCACTCACACTCAGTCTCCCTCACATTCGCACTCACTCATACCTCATACTCAGACTCATCCGCACTCACACTCACTCACACCCAGACTCAAGCACAATCAAACTCAATAGCACACATACCCATTCACACACAGACCACTCACACTGCTAGAAGCTTAAGCTCATACACAGTCACACTCAGGCGCGCACTCATACACACTCACATTCCACTTCTCCTCCGCCCCCTCATTGTCGTACTCCTCATCCTCCTCCCGCTACCCAATTCCGTTCGCTCTCATCCTCCTCCTCGTTTTCCTCCTTCTCCTCATCCTCTTGCCCCCTCCTCGCTCCCCTCCCCATTCTCTCCCTGGTCAAGATCATTCGCCTGGGCATCGTTGCTGGATGGGCATCGACGCACACATACCCATTCACACATAGACCACTCACACTCCTATAAGCTTAAGCTCATACACACTCACACTCATGCGCGCGCACCCCTATACACTCACACTCCACTTCTCCTCCGCCCTCTCATTCTCGTAGCTAGCGGCCGCCAGGAACCGCTGCAGACGATTGCAGATGATAGTAGACGATCGGTCCAGC